TAAAAACTACAGTATCTACAAAAGTATGGGAAGTTTGTACATAGGTATGCAGAGCTCAGAAGTGAATGACTAAGTTCGTAAACAGTACCGGTCTTCAGATTCTGGAAAGCAGAGGTAACATTTTCTCCTCTCCCACGTGCCAAAATATACACAACTTTCTAGCTTAGATCCCAACACCGCCCTCAAACGTCCCTCCCTGACCAGAGCTTGAGGTCCCAAAGGCAGCCTCACGCTGCAAGTCCCCATCGGGCAACCCCGAGAGGAAGGAGCCCCAGGCGAAGGGCTCTGGGGTTCCGCCCCACAGACTGCATGGCAAGTACAAAGGGAAAGGGCACCTTCACAACGGAGAGACCTGGCGGACGTCACCTTAGCCAAGTGACGGAACTCAGCACCGGCAGCACGGAGCACGTCAACATCACAGGTCTGATACGACCCACGGGAACACAGAACAGCACCGGTGCAGAATTCCTGCCTAAAACGTTTGACCTGAATCAGAGCCTGTCCAGACTGTGGGGCACCCTACATGATAACAATCCCAGATTCTTCAAAAACGTGCAAGTTATCAAGGATAACGGTGGAGGAACCGTTCTGGAAACTACAGAGACCAACGAGACACGACAAACTGAATGCAACGCGAGACCTCTGTTTGGCGCTTGTGTTTAAAGAAAAGCCACAAAGGTCACCTGAAGACCACTGGGACCGCGTCTGAGACGGCATCCCTAGAACAGTGTACAGTGTCTGGGCTGTGCCAGCAGGACGTGGTTGCACAGGAGGAGGTCCCCGTTGTATAAATGCACGTGCTGAGCGCATCCAGAGGCCAGTGGCATGAAGCGTGCACACGGGTTAAATGGCTAGTGAAGCAATGTCTGCACAACGATGGAGTGAGGGCACAGGGCACTTACACTAGTCTTCCTGCCTTTCTGCTAGTTTTAAACCTCTCAAAATAAAGAAAAGGGGGGCAGGGCTTCCCTGGTGGCGCAGTGGCTGAGAGTCTGCCTGCCAGTGCAGGATACGCGGTTTCGTGCCCCAGTCCAGGAGGATCCCACGTGCCGTGGAGTGGCTGGGCCCGTGAGCCATGGCCGCTGAGCCTGCGTGTCCGGAGCCTGTGCTCCGCAAGGGGAGAGGCCACAGCAGCGAGAGGCCCGCGTACCGCAAAAAACAAAAAGAATCACCCAGAGAGTTTTTTAAAAATGCAGAGTCCTGGGGCCCACTCTCAAATATTCTGATTCCATAGGCTAAGGGGGGGCCCGCGTCCCCAAAAAAAAAAAAAAAAAAAAAAGGCGGGGAGCGGGCAGATTATGAGGCTCTCTCTCGCATCCCCTCGCCACTCTGGCTTCACTTTTACGTATACAGCGAAGACTCCACTCACCATCCACAGTTTTCCTGTAAAGGTCTCATGGAACAAGGACTCAAACCAGCGGTCCTGACAGGCCCCCGTCACTTCAACTGCGGCCACACCAACTTCCCTCAAATGCCCGGCACAGCCAGGCTGGCCTGAGTCTGCCACAAGAAGTCCAGAGGGAAGCAGACTTGCCTCTCTGTCTCCTCAGCTGGCCAGGCCCCTTGGCCCTTAGGCAAGCTTGGGGAAAACACGCGGCTCCCTCTCCCGGCCAGACCGCGCCTGATGTCACCAAACCCTCATTTAAAGGGCCCGCCAGGTCAGCTTTAAACACGAACTAATTAAATCAGATACTCTCCAAGGGGACGCTGGAATCACTACCTTAAAAGCTCCACAGTCTACAGCCCAAGCGGGCACCACGATCTACCTATTAGTCTTCCTGAAGAGCACGTGCCCGCACGTCATTAACCCCAGAGCACGGTGGAAGATACTAATGGTCGGAGGGAGTGAGGCCCTTCCCTTCTCAGCTCAAGGCCCAGGCACTTTCTCTAAGCTACCAGGGAAAATACCCAATACACACCAAATAAACTGAGTCCAAAACTGGGGACAAATTAGGTCAGAAATGCATATTCTGGCTAAGGAAGTTCATTTTTTAAAACATACAAAATGCAGATCTTCACATCTAAACACGGTCTGAAAGGCCTCGAGATTTGCTCTGATCTGTAATTATTCACTGGGAATCTCTCCGCTCGCTGGTTCCCAGGACTTAAGGGAACTCCTCAGGGACACAAACTGCTTTAGGGCAACGGGGCGAAGGGGCTGCGCCTTCCTGCGAGACCAATGGGGAAATGCCTGCCAGGAAAAGGGGTCCCCTTCCAGCAAGACCAATGGGGATTTTCTTGATTTGTTTTAAAATGAAAGTATCAATAGAAAAGTGACAGCTAAAAGATATTCAAAGAAGTCTGTTTTACTGGACTTAAAAAAGGTGGGAAATAGGAAGTAAAAGAGGGGAGTGAGGTCAAAAGGCAGGACCCCAAGTGACTAGAATTTCCTACGGCCAGAGAAACAGGCAGTCACACCAGCTCAGGACTCTCCCCACGTGCAGGCAGAACGCAGCGTCCAACAGCAGCTGCTCTACCTGAGTCGCTTCCGAAAGGCCACTGGGCCATGAGCAGTTGGCAACAGGAGAAAGAGCGTGTAGAGGGACGAGGGCACACGGCAGAGCGGCACGTGGGCTTCTCCAACACACAGCTGCCCGCCCTGCTCCAGGCCCCCCCACGGCCTTCCACGGTGCGGCCAGAGGACACGGTGGGGACCAAGAACGCAGCCCTGTGCGCCACCTCGGCACGTGGAAACAAATGTCCCCCCCCGGGGCTCCCACCAAGAGCCCACCCAGCTGACACCCCGTCCAGGGCCTGTGAGACCCCAAGCACAGAGCCCAGCCGAGCTCACCGGACCGCCAGCCTCACTGCAGAGCTGAGAGGCAGGAAATGGCAGTGTTTCTGCCACTACATTTGGGGTCATTTGTTAGGCAGCTACAGAAAACCAACACACTACACCAGCTGTCTCACAAATAAAATGCAAGAACTGAGATCAATTTTACAGCAGAGTAGCTATAAACCCACTGAAACCAAAACTCCTGTAAGAGATCTAGACTCTCGACTCAGTTCTCCCTTTGGCAGAAACTGAGGCACCTTCTCATTCCAGCTGATAGGAGACTTAGTACAACACTGCAAACAATAGTGAATGGAATGAAAGTACTTCTATTGATCTTAGAAAAATGTAAGGTTTTTTTTTTTTTTTTTTTTAAACAAGTCAGGAGATGCTTTTGCTACCCTGCAGTACTAAAGAAAGCACTTCCAGGATCAATTCTCCCCTCTCGGCTCAGTGAGGTGGGCAGTGGGCTCCTAGCCTCGGATCCGCACTGGAAGCCGGACATCACTCCCTGGGATACACAAGAGCTGTTCCAGATACTCTTCCAAATGACTCAGAGTAACCGACACGTGACTCCACAGGATCAGAAGCTGCCTTCAGGCTCAATTCAGGTCACAAGGTGAAACTAACAGACCCGCTGGCATGCCACGATGCTGCAGCTACTGCTCAGCTAAGCACGTCCTCATTTTTTTTTTTTTTTTTTTTTTTTTGATGTACGTGGGCTTCTCACTGTTGTGGCCTCTCCCATTGCGGAGCACAGGCTCCGGATGCGCAGGCTCAGCGGCCATGGCTCACGGGCCCAGCCACTCCATGGCATGTGGGATCTTCCCGGACCGGGGCACAAACCCATGTCCCCTGCATCGGCAGGCGGACTCTCAACCACTGCGCCACCAGGGAAGCCCCTCATTTTAAAGCACCATCTTTGGCGCAGGCTGGTCATTAGCAAAGTAGCCTCCTTCTTTTTTTTTTTTTTTTTTTTTTTTTTCTTGCGTTATGCGGGCCTCTCACTGCTGTGGCCTCTCCCATTTGCGGAGCACAGGCTCCGGACGCGCAGGCCCAGCGGCCACGGCTCACGGGCCCAGCCGCTCCGCGGCACGCGGGATCCTCCCGAAACGGGGCACGAACCCGCGCCTCCCGCATCGGCAGGCGGACTCTCAAGCACTGCGCCACCAGGGAAGCCCAGTAGCCTCCTTCTTAAATGAGCACCTTGTGTGAAGGAGCTCCAAGAGGGAGCTCTGACAAACTGAGCAGCTGTGGAAAGGTGAAACAACTAGAATTTTACTAATAAATGCCCCTCGAAAGCGACAAGCTAACCATTATCAACACAATAAACTGAAATAAAGGTGTGGCGGTGTCTTATCTTCTGCCTCTCAGATGATCACACAGACCAATTCCAAGGTCTACAGATTATCCTTTTCAAAGTCGCATTTTACAGAAGAAGAAACTGAGTCCGAAAGGGGCTACGAGTCCTTATCTGCCCCGAACGTTTCCAGACATCTTCTGGGGATCTGCCCTCATACAAACCCAATTCATGGACATCCAAATTGAGGTCTGACCCAAGAGTGGAGACCAGCAGGGTGTCTACCTTCAAAGCCCTACAGAGCGTCCTGAATGCACCTGTCCTATATGCTGGCACCTCCTCGGCAGCTGGCCACGACTGAGACCATCCTTCCTGCAAAAGGACAGTCCATTCCCATGAAGCACGTCTGAACGACACATCAGAACCCTGCAACATGAGCTAAAAAGATGGAGGCACAATCGCTCACATGGATAAAGTGAACATTAACGGATTAAACCTTACTGCTGTCCCGTCCATCTTGTTCATCCTTGGTCTCACGCATTCAACACAGGTCTGACCTGAGTGCCTATGCATGCCAGCACTGGGACCCACGTGTATTCACAGTGCCCTCAAGGTTCCCAGGCCAGTGGGCTGGATGAGGAGGGAGAAGCTTCACTGAAGACTGCAACCCTGGCTTTGCAGGACGCGGATACGTGCCCAGCCCAACACCCAGCCTCTAGCCGAGCCCCTTCCTGGAGGCTCTGAAGAGTCAGACACAAAGTGAAGAGACATGATTCCAATTCCTCCAAGAGAGCCGTCCTCCCCTTTCACCCCACAGTTCTCCTGCCTCCCACCCTCCACCACCCAACAGTGGTCAACGGTCCTCAAAAGGACCCTTTGGAAAAGCAGCCCCAGGTCCGTGTGTTGCTTCCTGTCATTATTACTGACAGGCGGGAGGAATGGCGGCTGCCTTGGAAGCTGCACTGAACCTCAGTGCACGAGAAACGAGGAGGTGCCCTCGCGGCAGGGACGGACACGGGCCAAGCTGCCGCATCCCATCTCAGCCTCGTTCCTCCGTCTCCTCCAGCCCAGGTCAGGGACACAGCTCACTGGGACCAGCCTGGGGCTTTAGCCTCATCAATACAACAAGTGACAGGAGCTTAAAATATCCGAGCCACCTCCACTTTTCCCATTTCACCCTTAATTCCGCCTTGCTCTGTTCCTGAACCTCTTCGGGAAGCTTCTTAAGGGGTGTCACTGTTCAGGAGGCCTCTGATGAGCGGGACGGCGGGCTGCTCCACGTTCACTAGCCGTGGACGTAGGCAGGCACCCTACACGCCAGCGCCTTGGTTTCCTAGTCACAGCGCGGGCAGAACGATCCAACCTGAGAGAGCTGCTTGAAGACTGAGCGAGCTGACCCGCGTCTACGGGGCAGGGCCCAGGATGCAGTGGGCACTCAGGGGCCACCACTCATTCTCGCCACCTCTCGGGCTCCTCTAAGAGCACCACCACCAGGGGAGGCCCAGCGCAAACTGAAACTGCAGAGCTTGTCAGAGGGGGACAGCAGAGCATTAGACCCAGCGCGGGGCTCCACATGACGACTCAGTGACATGCCCACAAGGCCAGCCCTGCCACCAACCAAGCTCCCCTGAGAACCCCTGCTAGGAGTCAGGCTAAGAGGACTGCCCTGCGATCCTCAGTTCACCTAGTCCAGCCCGGGCACAGCGTGCCCGGCAGAACGCAAACGCTGGTTCGCACCCGCTGGGCTGTGACCCGAGACCTCCTCACCACCTCAAGTGTCCATCTCCTCGGCTGCAAAATGGGGAAAGCACCACCTCCTCCGCAGGACATCTGGGAGGATTAGACGATACAGCACATATGAAACGCCTAGGCACCTACTTTGTACCTGACAAATGCTAACCCCATTTAATTCCAAGCTGACTGCCCACCCCCAGCCTCTCCAGTGACCTAGACTCGCGTGGTCCAATGTGGGGCCGCCTGCCTTGTGAGCTGCTGAGTGCTACCAGTGTAGCTGATTCAGTGAGAGGTGGCTGCGAGTGTGAGAAACACACACCAGATTTTAAAGACTTAATGTGAAAAGACAAAGTAACGTCAATAATATTTTAATGTTAACTACACGTTGAAATAAGAACGTTATAGGTACACTAGGTTAAAGACAATGTATTATTAAAATTAACTTCATGTTTCTTTTCACTTTTTTTTAATGTAGTTTCTAGGAAGTTTTAAAAAAACAAATGTGGCTCACATTATATTTCTACTGGATGGTGCTGATCTAGACAATGAGACACCCAAAGACCTGAAGGGAAGTCTAGTTCTCCACAGTGGAAAGCAGCCTGCATGCAGAAGGGACTAACCACTCACCCACAGGACAGCTGGCCAGGCTCTACAATGGAACACAGAAGGTGAACGCAGACACTGTCTGCCAGGAGAAATTAAATAGAATCATAACATCAGAGTAGAATTTGACATTCTCTGCTTATAAGAACCTACAAGATATTCAGAGAATAGTTATTCATCTCCTAAATGACTTTTTAATTACTTACTGTCTCTCAACTTCTTTAAACGGCAAGTTCTGGCAAAAACATGAATAAACTGACTTCAAGAACTGATTGAGTCAGTCAGTAAATACTACATCATTACCTACCACTTCCAGCTCACCACGGAGTCAGGAGCACAGGTGACCAGCTAAGATGACAGACTGCTGCTGTGTGACCTCAAACACACCTTCAGTACAAAGTTGTAGGGCTTCCCTGGTGGCGCAGTGGTTGAGAGTCCGCCTGCCGATGCAGGGGACGCGGGTTCGTGCACCGGTCCGGGAAGATCCCACATGCCGCGGAGCGGCTGGGCCTGTGAGCCATGGCCGCTGAGCCTGTGCGTCCGGAGCCTGTGCTCCGCAGCGGGAGAGGCCACAACAGTGAGAGGCCCGCGTACAGCAAAAAAACAAAAAAACAAAAAAAACCCACAAAGTTGTAGCAAACAACTTTACCTGAAACTAGGTCGAAGGTAACACCTGGGTGGGGCATCTCATTCCCAGGGAAAGGGCTATATACTTTTGTCTTTGTTTCAATTAATCCTGAAGCCTACATCAACAAGTTTCAAGTTTTCACATGAGCATGTCTTAGTTATTCCAATAGTATTTTTAAATATTCTTTTGGACAAAATCTCAATCATAACCTTGTTAAAAATCTAGAAGAGAACTGAGCATGAGGACAAAGAAGTTTAACAAAAGAATCTGTCCGTCAGAAATACACAAAGACGAACGTTTTAGAAAGATGTAAGGCGATTTCTTTCCC